CCACCCCCACGTGGGCCACCCCGCGTGGACTCCCGTGACCCGCGCTCCCCCGCAGGTGCTGTCCGGGTGCGGAGTCTACGACGGCACGGAGCTCCACGAGGCCTCGGCGTAAGCCCCCGGACAGTGCCCTGGGGAGGGGTTGTCTTCTCCCCACCGATCGATAGGAGGAACCTTTGCCCTTTATTAAGGCAGGAGTGATTGACAAGACACAGGGAGGCGCAGGGAGGGTCGTTCTGAATTACACGTGTAAAATGCGAGACACAACATGAGCTGCTTCCGTGTCACCGGTGACATCCTTCTAGGGCAGTGGTTCTCAACCTTGGCTGCACATCAGAGTCACCTGGATCTTTAAAATCCTGATTTCTGGGCAAATCAGGATTTTAAAAAGATTCCCAGGTGATTCTAATGTGCAGCCAAGGTTGCTATAGTGGTTTGAACGCCCAGGTGTTACAAACATTGGGATCAGGTGCCTGAGTTTTGGAGCTGTTTTCCCCCTGTGTCAGCGGGTTTCCATCCGCGCAGCACTCCTGGCTGTAGACTGTCGCTCCTGTAACCCTGTCAGTTGTTGCTGTGTTAGGAGCCTGGGGCTGCTGGCTGTGCTGGCCTCAGCCCTCCGGTCCCCTGTTTGCCAGTGTGTGCCGGTGTTGGCGCTAGAGAAGGAGTGAAATTTAGAGTGTGCGGAGGTGGGTGGCACCGGGCCAGGAGTTTCCTGGTGGGGGAACTAGAGAGTGGAGAAAGCAGGAGTAGCGGGGCACAGCTTGAAACCTCCCAGCACGTGCCAGGAGCTATATGTGGCGTGTCCAGGAAGTTGCAGGAGCAGCAGAGCCCGAGCGAGTACCAGGACAGTCCCGGCTCTGCTGGGTCATGCGTCCTCCCAAAGGGGCACAGTGACAGCACCGGGTCCGGGACTGATGGGTGAGTTACCGCATGCCTGGCACAGAGCAGCCCTCTGGGAGACCTGCATGTCTCCGTGTCTCCCACCTCCGTGACAGCAAAGTTGGGGGACATCTGAACTTAAACTTACTATCGCCACCCAAGACCCCCCCCTCAGCCTTTTGAGATCCACGTCAGTTGGCCCGTGGGAGGACGACACCCCACAGCAGCCTGGGAACCCAAACACCCAGACTGTGACACCAGCAGGTCACCCCGCCCCCTCCACCTCGGTCTGAAAAGGGAACAGGGAGACAGGTCGTCAGTGCAGGCTGGTTCAGTGACAGTGGATTCAAATTGTGGGTGTTTGGGCCTTCAGCAAGCCAGCCACAGCTTTTTGCAAAACAAGCGGGATATTAATGACACAAGGAATTTATACCTGGCATTCGGCTAAAATCCTGCCTTTAAAAACCCGTGGACAGGTGAAGCTGGGTTGGGCCTGTCTCAAAGCCTGGTGTGATTTCCTCCCTTGCAGGGTGCTGGTGCACCTGAGCCGTGGTGGGGCTGAGGTCCAGATCTTCGCGCCTAACGTCCCTCAGATGCACGTGATTGACCACACCAAGGGGCAGCCGTCTGAGAGCGAGACCAGGTGTGGGTCCTCCCCTCGTCCTTGACCGTGAGCTCCCCGAGAGCCTGCACGCATAGCGCTTTCAGCCCAGTCAGGGCCAGTCTGTTCAAACGAGCACCCTTCCTGCACGCTCTTGTCCTCTGGTCTGCACTGATGCAGCGAGCTGGAATGTCACTGTCCATACTTCCTTCCATTCCTCACCAAAGCAATTTCCTGCAGGGTGAGCTCCATACTTTGGTCTGACCAAAGGGGTGCGCCTCAGTTTGTCTGCCCCCACTCGCCTGCCTGGGCCCACGTGTCTTTGAGCAGCTCCCAGCAGTGTTTCTGTTCCTGCGGCCCCGGGTGCTTGAGACCTTCTCCCCTCCTGTCCTGCCGGGACCGCAGGGAATGGCCCCTGGAGGCTGTGGTTCCCGACACCTTCCGGCTGGGGTCCGACAGTGGGAGATGGGCCAGGGGAAGAACCTGCAGCTCTGCCTGCTGGGGGTGGGTCCTAGCCAGGGCCCTGGCCTAGGGTGGCAGTGGCTCCCACTGTAGTTGCTGCACTCACCCGGCGCAGGAGCCCCCTAACTTCCCCACCGCCGCCCTGCCCATCAGTTCCACATAAATGCTGTTTTAGACACTTGGGGGTCTGCCTTCCTGGAGGCCCCTGACTGATGCAGGAGGCTCCAGAAGGCCCAGGTGGGCTGGAAGTGCTGATCTGAAGGGTCCAGCAGACGTCTACGTTCCTGTAGCTTTAACTGCCTTTTCTGCGTATTGACGTGACATTCACGTGTGAGCATGCTCCCCGGGGCTGAGAAAACGCGGCCTCTTGTCTGTGGCTCCTACCTGCCATTCTCCCGTCTGCGCTGAACCTTATCTTGGCTTCTTTGTGCTCTTTCCCAGGAACGTTCTGGCTGAGTCAGCAAGGATCGCCCGTGGCAAGATCACTGACCTGGCCCAGCTAAGTGCAGCCAACCATGATGCCGCCATCTTTCCTGGGGGCTTTGGAGCTGCCAAAAACCTGTGAGTGTTTGAGCTTGGGGCCTTGTGCTTTTTGCCTGGAGCAGTAGATGGGGACCAGGTGGCGACATGAGCCACTGCTGAGGTCTCGGGTCCAAACGATGCAAGTAGCTGCTCTGACAGAACCAATGCAGGATGGGCTCAGGTCACATTTTGGCAAGA